TATATATATGAAGGTGTTCATAAATTAATTAACAATGTTCAGTAGATAAAATACCACTTGCTTGCATTTCTGTCCTGAAATCATCACTTTGTGCTTTCCGCAAACAAAAAAAAAAAAACATTGAAAAAGAAGCAGCAGATTTTTGCCAGAGGTTAATCCATATTAAAAAAAATGTCTCTTTAAATCTAAAAGATTTTCTTTATCTGTGACGGCCGGGTATCCCATTGCCGTTTGCAGCCGGCTCTTCCAGCTCGTCGTCCTCAAAGCCATGAAAAGTGGAAGTGTCGCTCTCTGAGGTGGTGCCGAAGAGCTCCTCAGCTCCAGTAAAAGTCCCGTCTTCCTTCTCTTCTCCACAGTCAGCTGGAACACCGGACAGGAGAGCAACAGAGTCAAGAAAGAAAATCATATGGCAATCATCACAGCATAATAAATCATGCAAAGATATATGTGAACATACTTGTGCACTGGCAGGCTGAGTAGGGAGACCCAGATTTACCCGTTTTCTTGTTTGAGCCCTGGCATTTATTACAGTAACTGTTGGGAATGCTGGTCCCACCTGGACCCTTTGGACCTAAACAGGAATTTCCAGGAAGAAATCAAAGTTTTAATGACAGTTGATTTAACCCAGATTATGTTAGGTACCTATACAACTTATACAAACAGAATATAACTTAAGTGAAAACCAGGTGACATTTGTCCTGAAGAAGCCAGTTTGCAGAAAAAAAATGTTCTACAATTTTAATTGCATTAAATAAAATTACATTTAATTTAATTACATTTGTCTACACCTAAAAAAAAGGATTAGGATTTTGCATTGGGATAAAACAAACAAAACAACCCCCCCCAAAAGAAAACAACAACTTTAAAACATAACCAGAACAGGGTTGACAAGAAGCAAAATAATCGGCGTGAATATAACTTAAATATAACTTAAAGTGTTAAAAAAGAGGAACCTAAACAGGAGCCACAGGTGTCACATTTACTTACGTTTGTGTCTGTCAGTCTGTGGTGCAGTGGGGGGTTGGGAGGCAACTGTGCTCCTTTCCCCGGCTCTGTCCTCCTCTGCCAGGTGAGAATGGGTGTAGTGGTAACTTAGTCCTGTGCGGTTCCTGTAGCGCTTTGCACAGACTGCAAGAAACACAGGGGAGATGATCAGTCTCACTACTGTGGCTGCGTTTCATTATATAAATATAATTCTGGGAACACAGCATTTCTAAACGTGGAGTTGGGCAGGTGTTTTCCCCCCTGCATCATCTGGCCATTTGTTTTTAGGATTATGGCTGGTTCTCATAGAGACCTTCACAAAGCTTTTGAGTTAAAATTCCACAGAGCATCTGCTTAGATGGTAATAATGTCAAAGAAACATAGCTACAAAATATTTGTATGTACCCTTTTGTCTTTATAGGCAACAACAAAGTGCAGACTGATAGCATCATTGAGCATAGAAGAAAATGGAAGAAATTCTATCTAATGGAGCTAACTATTCTACTTCTGGCACCAGCACTTTAAGATCTGATTACAACAGTGAGCCAAATAAAACATCAAGCCACACATCATAATAACCGTGGCTCAGATTCAAAGCACCAAGGGCACCTTTCAGCTTGAGAAAAATAACATAATGTAAGGGCTAAATCTATAATGGCAACTCTTGCAACAATACCACTCAACAACCGATCAAAATAAATATCTAAAGAACTACAGTCAGAACAACAAATCAACGTACCTGAGGTTGAAGATTTGGAGTTCTGCCTTTGTTTGTATCTGTCTGAAACAGAAAAGACAAAAACACAAGAAGAAAGAGAAAAGATGAGGGTGTGTTTTTCCACACAGAGTCAGCAAATGGAGTCCAATCCAATACCCCTTACTTGGATTTTCCACATGCAACTTGCATGTACAAGAATAGCTAAGACTGCAGTGGCAGTAGTTCACAAAGTTTTATCCTGTTAAGTCCATAATTTGTTTTGCAAAGACACATTTTTTGTAGTTTTGCCTCTGTGCACCACCACCGAGTGGATTTTAAATTAAACAATCAAGATGTCGTTGAAGTGCAAACATTCAGGTTTAAAATAAGCAGGTTTTACAACAATTGTGCATCAACTGTTTAGGAATTACAGCCATTTCAATACATGGTCTCATTTTCAGAGGCTCGAAGGTAATTGGATAATTGGCTGACAAGCACTTGTCTTGTTATTTTATGACTAATAAGAAAGCAGATATAATCAGGGGTGCACATAAGTGGTCCGCATGTGCGCATTCGCTGTCAAAATAAAAGACGTGCACCAGATAAGAAATTGCAACGCACGTTTGCGTCCATATAAAAGGCAGTGTTTTTGTCCGCTAGAGTGGGATTTTCACGGCACATTCTGCACCACATCTCTGTTTGTTTGAAGCCAGCTCACCTCCTGCAACCACTTTTCCGAGAATACGCGCTTCTTTTGTGGTTCGGACTCCTTCTGACATTTCTTTGGAGGTGGAGGAACACCAAAGTAATTGCTTAAAGGAGCTTTCTTCTTCGACATCTTTAAGAGTTCTAAACAAATGTCTGTCCTCCTCCAGAAAATCTTATGGACGCAAATGCGTGTTGCAACTTCCTATCTGGTGCGTGTCTTTTATTTTGACAGCAAATGCGCACCTGCGGACCACTTATGTGCAGCCCTGGATATAATATTGGAAGCTCATTCAAAGTGTTAAATTTCTATTCTTTTTGTTCCACTGTGATTTTAAATGAGATGTTAATGCAAGTGAGTGAGGCAGTCATGAGGCTGAAATACCCCCCCCCAAAAAAAAAAACATTCAGAGAGATGGGAAAAACTTTCCAAGTGGCCAAATCAACAATCTGGTGCATGATTCAAAAGAATGAATGCACTGTACTGGCAGCTCAGCAACACCAAAACCTCTGAAAGAACACAGAAAAGCGCATGATGACAGAATTATTTCCATAGCTCAGAAAACCAGCTTCACATCTAGTCAGGAGGTAAACTAGACACATCGTTATCAAGATCTACGACCATGAAACGCTTTCATGAATCGAAAAATAGCGCAGGCTGCACACCAGTGGTTACACTCAAGATTACAAAGGTCAGATTAGACTTTGTGAGAGAACATCAAAAAGAGTTTGCACAGTTCTGAAACAAAAAATCTCTACAGATGAAATCAAGGTCAACTTGCACCAGATTGACTGAAACAGAAAGCTATGGAGAACAAGACAAACAACTCATGATCTGAAGCAATCCACATCATCTATCAGTATGGATGGAAATCGAGAACCGGTTCCTAGCAGTCGAATTCCTCGGAATTGTTAGTCTGCCTGCCGATAGATCCCACTTATCAGTTCTTGCACTTCTGCTACAATCTGCTGATGTCAGTTGTCGGAGGAGGTAAATAGTTGAGCAGTTTAAAGCGTGGATATGCACATTACTTTTAATTTTATTGCACTAAAGGACAAGAGTGTAATGGTAAAGAGCAAAGTGCATCCAGGACAGAAGTAACTGTATTAAACTGTTAACACACCTTCGGTCTTAGCAAGCAGCTGTACAGACAGCATGCTAATGCTAAGCTATCCAAAAACCCAGAGTGGTGCTAAAGCCGAGTGAATGACGATCCCAGCCCAGGACTGGAGTCAAGTAATTCGTCATTTGGGAGCAGCGGTGAAGTCAGGTAACAAAAGGATGAGCAGTCAAGCTGCAGCCTCCGTTTCTACCTGTTCATGGGACGTAAAATCACTGTGGCAATTGCTTTGAAGTCTCTTTGTGCTTCATTTTTGCTTTGTGCTGTTTGCTTTCTGTTCATACCTAAATACTAAGAAAGATCATATGTGTGTCCTCATTAGAACAGGGATTTGTTTTTGTGTGTTGGGCTGTAGCCTCAGGTTTATATTGTTTAATGATAATGAACAGACAGTGTGCTTCAGGTCATTTTACAGAGCAACATGAAAGTAATGTTATAAGTAGTATAGTAAATTATTTTCTCCTTAATTAAGTAATGTACTGCATTACTTTTAACAGAAGTGTTCTGTGTAATATGTGAAATAAATTACTCACAACAAAGAGAGGAAATGCATCCAACAAACAGTTGATCACACGACATGCAATTAATTGGCACGAATGTAATGTCTTTGATATGATGGCAGTAACTCTGAAAGCACAGCTAGTGAGAGCCCAATGAGAATCAATGGGAGAATTGACAAGGATTCGAATCAATAAGTAATATCGATAAAGGAATCGGAATTGCTAAATTCTTATCAATTCCCATCCATTTCTGTCAGCTGTAGTGGAGATAATGTTATAGTAGGGCATGTAGAGGTGCTGGTAGTATTGGGTCACTGGTGTTAATTGATGATGTGACTGCTGATACACAGACAGGACGAATTGTAAAGTCCACTGTGGTGGTGTACAATAGCAAACCTACAAAATTGTTAAAGTTTAACAAGTCTAACTATATTGTTGGTAACTGACTTTGAGGGTTGCTGTTGACCATGACAGAATTTTGAAGAGGAAATCTTGATCCGTAGGTGCTCTTAACAGCCTCACAACCAAGGAAAGCCTTTTTCTTATCCTTTCTCACACACAGCAAGACAATCTCTGCATCAGACGTGTTCTCGCTACTGAAAATACCTAGCTTGGTTTAGGTCAGAGGTCAGAGCTCGGATAAAGGGTGTGGGAGCCAGGACACATGATGCCCACTCACAGAATTCATCAAACAATTACCTGCTCCTTTTTTCACATGAGCTCATGAGCAAAGTGTGAAAGCGACTTAAACATTATTCTTCCAATTAGGTCTAAAATACAAACAGACTCTGTAAAAAGCCTGTCCAATTTATTTTATCAGTGAGGAGTGTAAACAGTAGTACTCTAGGA